CGAATTAAGGGGCTACACACCCCTTAATTCGAACTAGTAAGTTCGAACTAGGCTTAGTCCTCGTACAATGAGGTTTTCCTAGTTCGAACTAAGCGCTCAGCTAGTTCGAATTAAGTTCGAACTAGCGGAGCGCTAGTGTAGCGCCTATAAAAGTTAATTCGAACTAACGTTCGTTAGTTCAAATTAACTTTTTAGTGTAGACATACCCCCTTTCGTACCTCGGTACCACCATGCTCTGTTCATTATTATCGTCCCAGCCAGTTTCTATGGTACCTGCTATAGGAGCCCACTCAAGCCCCATTTGACTCAGATTCATCTCTGCTGGAGCTGAAGGGGGAATTTCCAGCGGCGTTTCCGTTCCTAGTCAACAGGAACATCACTCCTGTAAACAAACAAATCCCCTGATCCAGCCTGCCCCTACCTGCGGCTGAGCTGGAAACTGCTCTGTGCCCAGGGCTCCCTGCTGGCTCCGACCCCGCTGGGACTCCCAGGCAGGCAGGATAAATGTCCCTGCCTCCGAGCCCCGGCCAGTGCGGTTCCTGCCCCTGCAGCTCCCCACCTGGATCCCAGGCAGAGACTCCTCATCCCCGGCTGGGGCAGGAGCCCGGTGAGTGTTGGGGGGGGTTCCCACACGGCTGCCCCCCTGCTGAGAAAGGTGCCCTCGTGTGTCATCAGTGGGACCTGAGCTCGCCAAGGACCCAGTCCAGGGGAACCCCTCACAGCCCCTGGTGTCCCTGGGAGCGGGGGCAGGTCGGGGGGAGCAGGATGGCGCCCGCAGGGGAAGGAAAGGCAGGGGAAGCAGAGCGGCCTGCCAGGGGCACAGAGCCTGAGTCCTGCCTGCAATGAGCTGCACTGGCCCCCTCCCCCATGGCTGCTGGGGGCAGTGAGTCCGGGAAGGGCACCGAGACATTCCCCGTCCCCTCCTATGGCCTGGCGTCTATCTGGCCCCATCCTGCAGGGATAAACCCCCTGCACCTCCCCAGTCCAGGCCCTGCTCAGCTCTGCTCAGGGTGGTCACTTCCTCTCCCAGCCAGCGGGGGAGACAAGTCTCGGTTTCCCTGCCCGAGAGCCCAGGGCAGAGCCAGGCAGAGGCACCAGTGTTTCCTACCCTGAGCTCCTAGTGACTCTGCTACGAAATACGAATGAACGTCCGGGACACAGACACGGGGGCAGGGCTGGAGGTGGCAGAGAGGGCGGGAGCATGGACAGACGGGCAGGGACAGACGGACGCTCTGTAGTTACTCTGTGCTGGGAGGGAAGGTGCAATTCTCATGGAGCAGCCGACGTCCCCGCTCCCAAACCCTGCGTCAGGGCTGCCGGGGATCCTGGGGAAAGGCTGAAAGGGACACTCAACTCAAGCCGTGAGAAGAGCTGGGGTGAGCGGCAGGGAGGCGCCCGGTGCCAAGGCAGGTTTGCAACGGAACGTCCCTGGTTACCCTGGAGAGTCTCCCGGGCGTCTCCGAGCTGGGCCTGGCTGTGGCCCCAGGGAGCCCTCACTGACAAGCTGCTGGCCTGGGGCAGCGAGTTAAAACAGCAAAGAGCAACGTGCGGCTCCCGCCAACGGGCCTTCCCAGCCACCGACTGCAGTGGGCAGTGGGAGTTTTTCTATCTTGAGTGGCCTCCCTCTGGCGCTAGGAGACCCGGTGTTGCTCGGGGCTGACTACCGCAATGTGAGAATTGGAAACGCCATGAACATACCCAGGCATCACTGGAGCCATGGCCCTGGGATGGGCTGGGGAGAATGGGTTCAGGTTCCCAGCTATCCCAGGAGAGGGGGCTGCTCCTCTTTTCTCCCTCCTGCCGGCCAAGCAGCGCTGTGGGATACTCCAGGGGCAATGGATGTGACCAGGACTTGGGTTCGGGTGAATAAACAGCTGAACAGGAGCCTCCAGCACAGAGCTGGGGCCAAAGACGCTTGGGTGGCTCTATGGCCGGGGACTGTCCGTAGGCGCAGGGAGATTCTATCCCCGCCGTGTCTGGGGCCGGGCCGGCCACCGCTGGGATCCTCTGAGTGGTCGCTGTGTTCGTGGGCTCTGCAGCTCCCCGGGGGGTTCAGCGTCTCAGTGGCAAAGCAAGGAGCAGGGCCAGAACTGGGGCAATAAATACTCATGGATCCTGAATAGCTGAACGGTCCCTTGTTGCTTCTGGGTGTGTTCCAGAGCTGAGGGAGGCCGGCTACACGGGTTGGGCTCTCTGAGATTCGCCGCCCGGCCCTGCCTGCTCTGTGGCCCGTTTGTAGAGTGGTCACCTCCAAGCTCTGAGCTCCTGACAGGTCCCTGCCACCGGCTCCGGCTCTGCCCTGAGCAGCTCTGAGTGCAGCTCTCAGGCCCAGGGATGCAGGGCGTGAGTGGGAAGTGAGAAGTGAGTGTGAGGGGGTGGGAGCCCAGCAGGCACTGACCTTGTCTCTGCTTCCAGCCGGGCCTAGCGCCCAAGCGGAGCCCTCAGTGCCCCATGGCCGCGCCCAACAGCACAACGTTCAGTCACCTCACCCAGCCATCTCCCTGTGACGTGTCCCTCCATATTGTGTGTTTATGACATAGCTGAGAGATGCTTTGTGCCAGGTCACTTTTCCAGTGATCCCTCCCATGAGTTATGATTTACGGAATGTGACAGTCCTATTTCCATGCATGTCTCACTTCTGTATCTCAAGCTAGGAATTTTGACCATGTTACAGTAGTTCTGCTGTGCTCCTTTGGGTGACACCCACCTGTAACACTTCAAGTACCACAATGGAAAAGCCAGACAATGAGATACTATAGGGTCAGGTGACCTGATCACCCGACACTATCATCCCTCTTGGGTGGCAGAAATTTTCTAGGAGGAGGTGGGGGCCTGAAAAAAGGATTCCGGGCTTATGGAAAACCTAGATAAGGTGGTAGAGATGTAGCCGTGTTAGTCTGGTGTAGCTGAAACAAAATACAGGACTATGTAGCACTTTAAAGACTAACAAGATGGTTTATTAGATGATGAGCTTTCGTGGGCCAGACCCACTTTTGATCTGAGGAAGTGGGTCTGGCCCACGGAAGCTCATCATCTAATAAACCATCTTGTTAGTCTTTAAAGTGCTACATAGTCCTGTATTTTGTTCTAGATAAGGTGGGGATAGAAAACAATCAATGTCCTCAGTTTGTGTCTCCTCTGCCTCCCGATCCAAAGAAATAGTTCAAATGATCTGAAAAGAAAAGGACCGGAGCTGAGGGCCACAGGGAAGAACTGCTTGACCATGCGGTGAATGTGGGGAGGGGAGTAACTCAATTTTCTGGATGTTTCAGTCATTCAGTTAGCTCAAGTCTCTTCTTACTAACTTGATTTCCTCAACGATAATGGTTAAAAGAATAGACAGTGAGCCCTAAAGTGTCCTCAAGAGTTCTAAGAAAACAGGAAGTGGGATGGTAGTGCGCTAGGAGAATCAATGAAAACACAGCATGAGCTTTCGAACTGGAAGTAGGAGCCGTTCCTGCTCCTCTTGTGCGGACTACAGCTCTGTGAGGAGAACAGGGAATGTTTAGTCAGACGAGATCAGGTAATTTTCTTTATTTGTGGAGTTCTTGGTCTTCTCTGTGCTGAGCACATGCAACTACCCCCTTTCATTATCATTTTCCTACTTGAACCACTGGGAAACAATTCTCCGTGTTGCTTCACAACGCCGAGCAACCAAGTAATGATCTATCAGATGTACAGCTCTGTGAGGAGAACAGGGAATGTTTAGTCAGACGAGATCAGGTAATTTTCTTTATTTGTGGAGTTCTTGGTCTTCTCTGTGCTGAGCACATGCAACTACCCCCTTTCATTATCATTTTCCTACTTGAACCACTGGGAAACAATTCTCCGTGTTGCTTCACAACGCCGAGCAACCAAGTAATGATCTATCAGATGTGTTTTCTCTATTTTGCTTTTTCTTTCTTAAATACAAACCACCCTTCTGTAGCAAGCACTGACCTTATCTCTGCTTCCAGCTGGGCCTGGCGCCCAAGCGGAGCCCTCGGCGCCCCATGGCCGCGCCCAACAGCACAACGTTCAGTCACCTCAGCTTCATCCTAGTCGGCATCCCGGGCCTGGAGCCCTGGCACCCCTGGATCTCCATCCCCTTCGCGCTGATGTACACGGCGGCTGTTCTGGGGAACTGTGGTCTCCTCCTGCTCATCGCCACCCAGCGCAGGCTGCACGAGCCCATGTTCCTTTTCCTCTCCATGCTGGCGGTGGCCGACTTGCTGTTATCCACCTGCACCGTGCCCAACACGCTGGCCATCTTCTGGTTCGGGTTCAGGGAAATTTCTCTCAATTCCTGCATCATCCAGGTGTTCTTTGTGCACTTTGCAAGTGTTGTTGAGTCCGGTGTCCTGCTGGCCATGGGGTTCGATCGGTACGTCGCCGTCTGCGACCCCCTGAAATACACGACTGTCCTCACCAATGAGAAGATCGGGAAAATAGCCACGGCCATTGTCGTCAGAAGCTTTTGTATTGTTGTCCCCATTGTTTTTCTGCTCAAACGGCTGCCCTTCTGCGCAAGCAATATCATCCCACACTCCTACTGTGAGCACATCGGGGTGGCCAGGCTGGCCTGTGCAGACATAACCCCAAATATCTGGTATGGCTTCGCAGTGCCTATTTTAACCGTTGTACTAGACGTTGTGTTTATTGCTGTCTCTTATGTACTGATCCTCAGGGCTGTCTTCAAGCTGCCCACCAAAGACGCCCGACACAAAACACTCGGCACCTGTGGCTCCCACGTCTGTATCATCCTCTTATTTTATGTCCCAGCCTTTTTCACTCTCCTAAGCCACCGCTTTGGTCAGAACATCCCTAAACACATTCACATCCTGCTGGCCGATCTCTACGTGCTCGTCCCCCCCACACTGAACCCCGTTGTTTACGGGATGAAAACCAAGCAGCTGCAGGAACAAGTGAGTTGTGTGTTGTCTCGGAAGGGGAATTGTTGCTAAACGGTGCTGAGCATAGACCAATGCCACTCACTAGCAGGCTTCTTCCACATTGCAAGAAGAGGGCCCCTTGTCATTGACACATGGATGTTAACACTCTAACTCCCAGTTGCAAAACAGACTTTTTCAGCTCCTTGAATGTTTTCTTGCATGTCCAGGTGCATGTAAGTACGTGGGCCCTTCTTGAGAGAAGACTGGGGTCGGTGGGAGGGGGGCAAGCTGATAAAAGTCTCCTCATATTGTAAAGGTTCTTACCAAGAGGATGTTGAACTGTGGAACTCCTTGCTAGAGGATGATACATGCATGGAGGTTAGGTGTATTAATGGTCATTAACCAGAATGGGCAGGAACGGTGTCCCCAGCCTCTGCCAGGAGATGTGAATGGATGGCAGGGGATGGATCATTTGATGATTCCCTGTCCTGTTCATTCTCTCTGGCGAGGTTGAGCCTGACGTCTCTCTGAAGTGCTGAGTACAGACCTCCTGGGTGGGCTGGGCCTGTTTATTGTTCCTCGCCACCGAAAGGAATCCCTTGTCCTTGCTCTGTCGCTAGGCCGTTCCCCACCCAGCCCCACTCCTGGGCTCGCCTCCCCTCACAGCTCAAAGGCCAGGCCTCCACGTTGGGTTTGCTTTCATTGGCCAGTGGAGCCATTGGGGCCAGAGTGAGACAGCAGCCGAGCCTGTCGCTGGGGCTCCCTGGGGGCTGAGCCCTGCCCTCTTTGGAGATGCCCACGCCAGGGGTATAAACATCCCCGCGTCTCCGCCCCGGTCAATATGACCAGACCCAACCTGTGACCAAACAGCACCCAGGCAAGCAGCATCTTCGGTGCCCTCCCCTTTATTTGCCCCCTTTTGAACTCCCTCTTTGTATTGCCTCTGTAGCCTGTCTCCTGCTTTGATGCACTCGCGTGCACCATTAAAAAAGTGCATTCGCACGAGGAGCCGTAGAGCTGTGTTGATCCATGTCATAGGGCAGCAAATAAAAACCCTGTTTCCTTGACTATTTCACTTGAAGAAGGACCGAATTGTCCCTCCACACACAGGGAAGTGCGCCCACCCAGCCGCACAAAGCTGATCCTAGTCCTGCAGTTCAAGAGGTCTCAATTCTCGCCTGTGCCCGTGCGCACTGGTGCAGAGCGTCCGACCCAAAGCCTGGCCCCAGGCATTGCCAAGCTGTGAAGTGGCACCTGCTTTATCAGTGGCTCCTTCCAACCCTGCAGGCCCCCAGCACCCGCAGACCAGCACAGTCGCACAATAAAACCAAGTTCACAACATGGCAGCTGGGCCCTCATGTCACTTTGCTCTCACATCCCACTGAGGGACGGGCGACCCCCCGCCCCCAAGTGGACCCCCAGGGGCCTGGCAGACACGGTTCCGGGAGGCTGCCGGAAAACGTAATTCTCAGAAAGTCTGGAAGGTTCCACGACATTCGACAAGGCCCAGAACACTCTGGGGGGTGAGCGAGAAATGGACCCACCTCCGGGGGGCCTGAAACATTTTCCCCCAGCGCTCCATGCTCCCTGTGCTTGTTAATAACACAGCCCAGTGCCCCTCACGCCTGGCACCCAGCCAGTCCCCTGGGTCTCCTGGTCCTACATTCATATTCCCCCACCTGCTGCCCCTCAGCCGGATCGCAGGCGGAGATTCCTCATCCCCGGCTGGGCTGGGCCGGGTGCAGGAGGGGGGAGGAATTCGGGACTCTGGGCCTGACTCTCTGACTATCCCAGGTGGCCTCAGGTCAGTAGCTTCAGTCCCTACTAGGGGCTGCCTTGATTTTGGGGGCCCAACCGTAGGAACCGAAGTTTCAAAATTGGGGCCTAAAGGTTGGTCCCACCTGCCCCACCCCAGAGCAGCAAACCTTCCCCCAGCCCACACAGCTAAGGCGGGAGGCAAGGCCGCCTGGCGCACGGGGGCCCAGCACCGCTCCGGTTTGGCCCCACTGTCCCTGGGCAGATGGAAACGGGAGGGAGGGGGGCAGCTGGCCCAAGCAGAGGGGGCAGGGCTGTGACCCCCCGTGCTCCTATCAAACAGCATGTTCACACAGGAGAACACACGTGTATGTTCAGTGTCCGGTGAGGAAGAGGGAAAGGGCCCTGCCTTCGCTGGGTGAGGGGGCCACTCAGGAGGGTCTCAGCGGCGGCAGGGGGTTCCCACCACGGCACATGACACAAAGAACTAATTAAGACACACAGAATTTCATCCCTAGGATGCAGTTACAGTGTTCGGAGGGTGGCACATTAAACAACAAAACAAAGAAAATAACCGGATTGTGTCTACATGGACATTCCCTATCTACTCATACACTTGTGTTCTCCCAGCTCCTGGCTCCCTGTCAACATCTCCTACCTGCCTGAGTTTAACCCGTTAGTCACCAAATGCTGGGATGCCCAGAAAAGGACAGCCCTCCTCCCATCCGTCACGCCCCCGCAGTACAGGGAGTGAGGGGCCCTGTCCGGAGAAACCGTGAAGTGCCACCTCCCTCATTCTACAGGCCTGCCAGCTCCACCCTGTTCACCCGCACGACATGACCCTCAAACTACAGGAGCTGGGAGTTCCCTAGCAAGGGCAGCATCTGTACAGCGCCGAACAGAACGGGCCATGGAGCGCCGGCTGCCACGGCGATAGATACATAGCGTAGAAAACAGGTTTTGCCCCACCGCTCAGCCAGACTGGGAGTGCAGCGAGAACAAACCGCACGTGCAATGTGGGATCAGACGGACCAACTTTATTGAACATCCTAAGGGAGAGAAACGCACAGGTAGGAGGCAAAGCCCATAGTGCAGGGGTCTCCAAACTCGTCATGGCACGCCCACACCTTACCTTGTGCTGGCCGTCCCTCCACCCCGGGAGTCACAGTCGGGAACCAGGGGACGGGGTGTGACTCCTGGGGGTAAGAGGGAGCCCAGATGGAGCTGAGGCTAGGGAGCGGGTCCAGAAGCGGAGCTGGGGGCGGGGTCCCAGATGGGGGCAGGGCCAGAGCAAAACTGGGGGTGGAGCAGAGCTGGGTGGTACTCCCTTTCTGCCCTCAGTAGGGGTGGCCCAGGCCCTGCCATATTCTTCTGGGCCCTCCTAGGGGTACACTCCACAGTCTGGGGACCTCTGCTGTAGTGCTTCTTGCCCTGGGTGATCGCTGGGATTAAAACAGAGCATGGAAGTGTGAACACCAAGACACCTTTGAACTGGGTCACGAGACACCAAGTCGTGCTCGACAGTCACAAAACGGTGGCTTTCAGCAGAATGTAACCACCACCAGGCAGATTTGAACCGGGGACCTCTGGAGAAGAGTATAGGAGCCTCTACCCTCTGAGCTAAAAGCCAGTTGGTTCCCAGCCTATGCTGTAGAGGTCTCTTGGTCTTAATTGTTGCTGTGGACTAGATACCACTGCATGGGACAGTGAACCACACTAGGGCTATGTCTACACTTGCAGTTTCTTGCGCAAGAATCTGCAGAGCATCCACACTGCCCACCCGCTCCTGCGCAAGGAAATTTACAGTACAGGGTGGTAAGAGAGGGCGCTTTGCACAAGAGTTATGTTCTTTATCAGGTGTAAGTCCTCTTGCGCAGGTGCTCTTGCGCAAGAGGGCAGTGTGGGCGCTCAGCAGGGATTTCTTGCACAAGAAATCCCTATGGCTAAAATGGCCATCAGAACTTTTTTGGCACAAGAGAGCGTCCACACTGCCATGGGAGCTCTTGCGCAAAAGCACAGCGCGCACATGGCAGTGTGGATGTTTTCTTGCGCAAGACTTCTTGCACAAGAACCCAAGATGTTCTTGGCCTTGGAAAGGGGTTCAGAAAAGGGCAACTGAAATGATTAGGGGTTTGGAACGGGTCCCATATGAGGAGAGGCTAAAGAGATTGGGACTTTTCAGTTTAGAAAAGAGGAGACGGAGGGGGGATATGATAGAGGTCTCTAAAATCATGAGTGGTGTGGAGAGGGCCGATAAAGAAAAGTTATTTATTAGTTCCCTAAATAGAAGAACTAGAGGACACCAAATGAAATTAATGGGTAGCAGGTTTAAAACTAATAAAAGGAAGTTCTTCTTCACACAGTGTGTAGTCAACCTGTGGAACTCCTTGCCAGAGGAGGCTGTGAAGGCTAGGACTATAATAGAGTTGAAAGAGAAGCTAGATAATTTCATGGAGGTTAGGTCCATAAAAGGCTATTAGCCAGGGGATAAAATGGTGTCCTTGGCCTCTGTTTGTCAGAGGCTGGAGAGGGATGGCAGGAGACAAATCGCTTGATCATTGTCTTCGGTCCACCCTCTCTGGGGCACCTGGTGCTGGCCACTGTCGGCAGACAGGCTACTGGGCTAGATGGACCTTTGGTCTGACCCAGTACGGCCGTTCTTATGTTCTTATGTAAGAAGCCACGCGTGTAGACATAGCCCAGGTGTGTGGGTTACATAAACTCCCCTCAGGTGACCTTCCCTGGCACACGGACACAGATCGTTCTTACAGGATGTATTAGGCACACAATCGTACGTACGCGTGAACAGCCGGAGATTAGACTTCATTTTGTAAAAATGCCTGTGAATGAAACAATTTGCATCCCCCTGGTCTTAATCCACAGTCTCCCACAGCTACACCATCCCCAGGGAGATCTCCAGCCCGAAGGAACAACGCCCGAACTAGTCTCTGAGCTAAGGCGGGAAGACAGTTGCTGGCACAGGAAATACGTACAGAAATCAAACAAGAGCGAGCGCCACCTGTGTGTCGGGTGCCACAGCCAGTCCAAAGGGCTTCAGACCTAGAAGAGCTGGAATTCTCTGCTAGTCACAAACAAACAAGGCAATTTCCCTCCCAAATGCCTGGTTTGGGGTGTCCACAACAGCTCAGTGACAGGCTGACGCCCTTGGCAGGCTGAAGTGAGGGAAGGCAATCCGAGTGTGTGGAGCGGGTGCAAGTGCGAGGCTTCACTGAACAGGCCTCCTCGGGGGTTCTCATGTGCAGAATCAACTAACAGCCGGGCCTTTCTCCTAGGATACAAGAGAGGGTTCCCCTGGCCGCACTGCAGATTTGCCTTCTCCTATGTGGAAGTGGCAACTCCATGAGCCAAACTCTGCTGGGTTTTCTCGCCTCATATTGAGCATCTTTGCAATTCCTTCCCAACGTGCCCAATGAAGGTGCATTTCCCTCCACCTCAGCCCACCAGATTTCAATGGCGAGGGAGAGGGGCCGTAACTAGAGTTCTACAGTGCAGCCCACAACCAGCCTCGTCATGCCAATGGAGGGGAGACAGGCCCCAGCCTGCAACCCTTTGGACTCCCAACAAGCAGAACTGGGTAGCAGGTTTAAAACTAATAAAAGAAAGTTCTTCTTCACACAGCGTGTAGTCAACCTGTGGAACTCCTTGCCAGAGGAGGCTGTGAAGGCTAGGACTATAACAGAGTTTAAAGAGAAGCTAGATAATTTCATGGAGGTTAGGTCCATAACAGGCTATTAGCCAGGGGATAAATGGTGTCTTTGGCCTCTGTTTGTCAGAGGCTGGAGAGAGATGGCAGGAGACAAATCGCTTGATCATTGTCTTCGGTCCACCCTCTCTGGGGCACCTGGTGCTGGCCACTGTCGGCAGACAGGATACTGGGCTAGATGGACCTTTGGTCTGACCCAGTATGGCCGTTCTTCTGTTCTTAACTGGGCTCACTTGCTTCCAGGGACCCCGTGGGAGGCAGAGATAAGGGGAGCCCTGGCATAGGCTGGAGGCTGGCAATCTCACTTTGCTTGTGTTGGCTGGTTCCTAGAGGCTGCTGGCAAGTGACACGACATGTCGGGGAACCCCCGACCCTGCACCCTCATCCGCAGCCAGACGTGACTCTGCCAGCCCGTAGAAGAGCAGGGTTTATTGCTTCTCCAAAATACAGCCCAGCACAGGCTCACTGTTGATGCAGGAGCTAGGGGCCGACAACCTTAGTCCTCTTGGGGGGAAGGGGTTTACAGACCTCTGAATGCCAGTCCTGGACTTAGTCTGCTTTCTTCATGCTTCCCCTAGGCAAGAATGCTCCTTCTTCTAGGCACCGGTCACTCGCTCCCGCCAGGCAGCCACACCCCTTCCTTGGTTCAAGGGTGGGAGAGTCGAATTCCGTGCCCCCCTGCCAGCACCGGTCACCCCTGGGATGGACCTGACTCAGGCACGAGGAAGGCAGGATAAGAGACGTCCCAATGGTGTGGTGGGTTAAGGGCATCTGCCTGCTAGGAGTAGAGGGGTAGGTTCAATCCCACACAGGGGATAGGGCAATTGCCTGGGAGGTGCAGTGGGATGGGTTCAAACCCCAGACCATTCCACCCCCCGCCAGCACCTTCCCCATGGTAGGTGTGAGCCATTGTCTACGTGCCACAGACACACACAGTCTCTGCAGACCAGTAGGGGTCGCTCAGCACAACACAGCAACCGGTGAAGGAAAACCAGAGTGAATTCAGGGCCACAAGAGTGGCTAACACTCCCCCCCACACTATGTCACAGCATGACCACACGTTTATGGTACAGCGCATGTCCTCAGCCTCCCACAGTGCAGAGGGAGGGAGTACCACCCTCAGCCCCTTCAGATGGACTCTTCTCTCCAGGCACGTTCAGTTGTGCACACTTAGGACACAGACAAGGGATCGAAACAGGCCCTGGCTAAGAGGACAGAGGAGGCCATGAAGGATGGCTCCCATATGGCGCTACATTGGCTTTCCCTTAGACTCTGGAATGTACCACATTCCCCCTTCACTTGGGGCCAGCCCCTCGGCTGACAGACGCTGGCCCTGCACTCCTGGCTTCAGCCTAGCCATACCATTTACACCAAGGGAGGATGTGCCCCATGGGCCGTAGCTAACGCAGATCATTGTTCCGTCAGTATTGGAAGGGCCTCGAACCTGCGGCCTGGGTGCCACGTTTACGGGTTTTTCTGCCCTTCACTGGAAGGCAGCGCTTGATTTAACAGTCACACAGTTCCGGGTGTGGGATTAGCCACACCCGTCCATGAAGTTGGTACAGGCATTTCCCCTTTATTCGGCTCTGGGGAGGCCACATCTGGAGTATTGCATCCATAGAAAGGATGTAGACGCATTGGAGAGGGTCCAGCGCATGACCTATGAGGAGAGACTGAGCGATTTGGGTTTGTTTAATCTGCAGAAGAGAAGAGTGAGGGGGGATTTGATGGCAGCGTCCAAAGGGGCTGGAGAGAGGCTGTTCACAGGGGTGACAGATGGCAGAACGAGGAGCAATGGGTTCAAGTTACAGTGGGGGCGGTCTAGATTGGATATTAGGAAAAACTATTTCACTAGGCGGGTGGGGAAGCGCTGGGCTGGGTTCCCTAAGGAGGGGGTGGATTCTCCATCCCTGGAGGTTAAGTCCCGGCTTGACAAAGCCCTGGCTGGGATGATTGAGTTGGGATTGGTCCTGCCTTGGTTAAGGGGCTGGACTTGATTAACTTGTGGGGTCTCTTCCAGCGCTATGTGTCTATGACTGGGAGCCTCCGAGTTCTTCTAGGTCTTAGAAAGCAGGTTTCCTCGTGAGTGAGACTTCCCTCTCTGCAAGGACATTTCCGGAAGCACTGGATGGGTGGGGGCTGCCGTGGTAGTCCCCAGTTTCAGGTCTGAGAAGTCACCATTTTAACAGAGGTTTCATCTGCCACTGGTGCAACGTGGATTCTTGTGCATTTCAGACCCTCCGTCCTCCCCGCCTGCTCCCGGGTGAGGTGGCACAGGCCCCAGGCTCAGTACACGGGTGGGGTGCCCCCGGCGTGTGTCCGCTGGTGCCTGCCCAGGTGGTATTTGTGGCTGAAGCTGCGCCCGCATTCGGCACACTTATACGGCTTCTCCCCGGTGTGGATGCGCTGGTGGGCCACCAGGTAGGACTGGTTGCTGTAGACGCGGCCGCACTCGGCGCACGAGTAGGACTGGCGGTCGCGGTGGCTGCGCTGGTGCATGATGAGGTCGGTGCGGGAGCCAAAGCTCTTGCCGCACTTGTTGCAGTACACGAGCCGCTCGACGTGCGAGCGCTGGTGCGTGATGAGGTCGGTGCGGGAACCGAAGGCCTTGCCGCACTGAGTGCAGGTGAAGGACTGGCTCTCGCCGTGCACGCGCTGGTGAACCAGGAGGTCGGTGCGGGAGCCGAAGCTCTTGCCACACTGGTTGCACGAGATCAGCCTCTCGGCGTGCGAGCGCTGGTGCATGATGAGGTCGGTCAGGGAGCTGAAGGCCTTGCCACACTGGGGGCAGGGGTGCAGCTTGGCAACGTGGCCGGCCTGGTGCTGGCTGAGGTCGGCCTGGCAGGCGAAGATCTTGCCGCAGTCCGCGCACAGGCACCACTGGGACTCGGGGTGGGTGCGCTTGTGCAGGATGAGGTCGGTTTGGGAGCTGAAGCGCCGCTGGCAGGTGGCGCAGGGGAACCAGCGCTCCTTGGGGTGGCACAGCTGGTGCGAGGCCAGCTCGGCATGGAAGCAGAAGCTCTTGCCGCACTTGGCGCACTTGTAGGGCCGCTCCTCGGCGTGGATGCGCTGGTGGCTCAGCAGGGCGGGGTGCGAGCGGAAGCTCTCCCCGCAGTCGACACAGGGGAAGGGCTTCTCGGTCTCGGGGGCCCGCTGGGGCGGGGCCGGGTCCGGCTCCGCCCCTTCCTCCATGGCGTGGGCCTGCTGCTGGGCA